GAAAGAGAGAAAGAGAAAGAAAAAAAGTACAAACGAAAGAAAGAGAGAGAGAAAGGAAGAGAGAGGCAGGGAGGATAAAAAAGAAAGAGAGAAAGAGAGAAAGGAAGGAAGAGAGAGAAAGAAAGAAAAAGAGAGAGAATGAGAAAGATAAGAAAGGGAGGGAGGATAAAAAAGAAAGAGAAAGAGAAAGAAAGAGGGAGGGAGGATAAAAAAGAGAAAGAAAAAGAGAGAAAGAAAGAAAAAGAGAAAGAGAGGGGGATGAAAAAAAGAAAGAAAAAAGAGAAAGAGAGAAGGAAAGAGGGAGGATAAAAAAAGAGAAAGAAAAAGAGAGAAAGAAAGAAAAAGAGAGAGTAAGAAAGAGGGATGATAAAAAAGAAAGAAAAAGAGAGAGAGAAGGAAAGAGGGAAGGAGGATAAAAAAGAAAGAAAGAAAGAAAGAAAGAAAGAAAGAAAGGAGGGAGGGAGGGAGGGAGGGAGGGAGGGAGGGGAAAGGAAGGAAGAAAGAAGGAAGGGAATGAAGAAGGGAAAGGAAAGAAAGAGAAAGAAAGTGAGAGAAGGAAGAATGGAAGGAAGGGAATGAAGACAGGAAAGAAGAAAGACAGAAAAGAAAGAAAGAGAGAGAGAGAGAGAGAGAAAGAAAGAAAGAAAGAAAGAAAGAAAGAAAGAAAGAAAGAAAGAAAGAAAGAGGCAGGCAGGCAGGCAAGGAGGGAGACAGGAAGGCATGATAGCAGTCTTCCAATGTTTGAGGGGCTGCCCCAAAGAAGAGGCAGTCAAGCTATTCTCCAAAGACCCTGAAGGCAGGAGAAGCAGCAACGGGTGGAAACTATAAGGAGAAATTTCCTGAGAAATTGAGAATAATTAACCCATGGAACTGCTTGCCACCACAAGTTGCGGATGCTCCATCACTGGAGGTTTTTAAGAAGAGACTGGACAGCTAGTTGTCTGAAATGGTCTAGGGTCTTCTGCTGGAGCAGGGGGTTGGACTAGAAGACCTCCAGGATCCCTTCCAACTCTTGTTCTATTTAATCAATCAGAATAGAGCCGGAAGGGACCTTGTGGGTCATCTAGTCCACCGCCCCCCCCCCGCTCAAGTAGGAGATCCTAGACCCGTGTTGGCGAACCTATGGCACGCGTGCCGGAAGAAGTGGCACACAGAGGCACTTCTGCGGGCACGCGAAAGCTCGCCCGTAAGAGCCGCATTGCGCATGCGCACACGCCGCCGCCGGACAGCTGATTTTCAGGTATTTGGTGCACATGCATGGGGGGGGCACAGGAGACACATCATGCGCAGACGTGTAGCGCACACGGGGTCATGCCCGCATGCAGAGATGCGCAGCACATGGGGCGGATCGTGCGTGCATGCAGATGCATGGCGCATGGGGGAAGTATATGTGCAGATGCATGGCATGCAGTGGGGGAATCGCATGGCATGCAGAGGTGCGCGGTGCACGTCGAGAATCAGTGCGTGCATGCGCAGGGGAGTGGGGGGGTCTCAGCATGCTTTGCCTTCTGGGTGCTGGCATGCAAGCGCGAGCACACATGCAATTATCAGCACGGGAGCTGAAAAAGGTTAGCCACCACTGTCCTAGACCATTACTGACAGAGGGCAGTCCAGTCTCCAGGAATGAAGCTCCCGCAGCTTCTGAAGGCAACTTCTGTTCCATTGAACATGGATAATAGAGTTGGAAGGGACCTTGGGGGTCATCTAGTCCAACCCCCCCAACCAAGCAGGAGACCCTACACCAT